CTTCTCTTTCTATTTTTCTCTCTTTCTCTATTTTCTCTTCACTTGAAAAAAGTCACTGATGATGAAGAAATAAATAAACTAATATTTGGTTTTGTTTTCTACTGAAGTGACAAAAAAAAAAGAACTGATAACCTCTAATAAGAGACATTTATTGGACTGAAAACATTCCACTCACAGCTGGTGGTTCTTGAATGCAACACCTTGTCCAGCCTGTGTTGAGCTGTCAATCATGATTCTGCACTGCCTGTCATGCGAGGCCCCGCCCCCCACGTTAAATATGGGACATAAATCTGAAACTGAAAATAAAAAGTTTGAAACTGAAAAAATAATTTGAAACTGAAAAAAAAATTGAAACTGAAAAGTCAAGATGTTTGAAACTTTTCCAGATTGTAATGCATTGTTTTTCAGTTTCAAAAACTTTTTAATTTTGAACAAACCTTATGAACCCAATTTAGCTCCATAATTTTACATGTATTTTTAATGCTTTAAAATATTATTTCAACTTTATAATTAATCCTCTTTTTCGTTATTTTAATCTGGCTTCGTTTTTCAATAAATTTCGCGCAGCGGCCATTTTTGACACACTTTGCTTTCCGTATACCGGAAGTCATGTGACCTCCTGTAGGCGGGGTGTTTATGATGAAATGAAGTAAAAATACTAACAGAAAAACGTGCTGGAGCCGTGTCTAGAATACATTTTTGTATCTTTACGTAAAGGTATATTTAGAAAAGTTAATTTTTTGTTCAAATTACTGACTGATCTTTTGTTTTTGCGGCGGTAAACCCAGCAGGACCCCCGCGGACCTGTGGACTGGTACAGCCCGGAACTYGAGCTGTTTTGCGGGAATTTGTTTGAGTTGCAGCGGATAAAAGAGTTTTTATTTGTTGCTGTTTGGATYCATTCAGGCTAATGAGGTAAAAACTGTAAACTGGGACAGTCAGACATGTTTGTCCCACACATTTTAAACACATAGACACGTTTGTTTGTTTTACTGGTTGACAAACAAAACAAAAGAATTTAGTTACAAACAGACTTCATGAATCTAATTATAAAATCAGGGAAAATACGATATATATAATATTAATAAAATATATAATGGCTCATTGCAGTAATTCATTTATATTTATATTGTTGGCTAAAAGATGTCCAGAGATGCTAATTATAAAATCAGGGAAAATACGATATATATAATATTAATAAAATATATAAAGGCTCATTGCAGTAATTCATTTATATTTATATTGTTGGCTAAAAGATGTCCAGAGMTGCTAATGTTCAAATTCTTTCAACATTATTATAAAACATTAAAAAAGATTATAAAACACTGGTTAAAGTGTCTCGTTGTTTTCTCTCCACAGTGCTAAAARGAGCAAAAGGACCAAAGCAGTGGTCCCAGTTCCACAGAAGGAGCAGAACCAGGTAAAACCATCAGATGAACTGGTCCATCAGGACCAGGAGCTGGTTTGTTTTKATCACATTAAAGAAAATCATTTCTTCTGTAGATGGGTTCTGACCTGTCAGGATCTGTAAACAGAACCAGCTTCATGGAGGGACTGCAGCAGAACTGTGGTCAGTCCGTGTTTCATCTCTGTGGACAATATCTTACCTGCTTTAGATGAGCTCTGTCTCTGACCAKACAGGAGCTGACAGTTTGTCTGAGGGGGGTCCAGAGGGAAACCTCCAACCTGTTATGAAAACATTATTTAAATAATCTTATCATTTACTGTTGTTGATGTTTCTGTCAGGTGTTATAAGTTTGTGTATAATTTATTAGTGTCGTACTGCCAACGTTTTCTGATCAGAGTGTTTGTTTACAGGTAACCCGCTCCACAGCACTGCCCTGGACGAAGATTTAGACGTCCCAGTGGACAAGAAGAACGCAGGCAGTATGGCTGTTCCTAAAACACAGAAGACTGCAGGCCAACAGCTGAAAGCAGCAGAGAGGAGGACAGGAACRGAGGAGGAGGAGGAGCCGATCAGCAGGAGGAGCAGTAAAAGAGTGAGGGACAGATGCAGGTAAAGTTGAGGGAGTGTTTGTTGTTTTCACTGCTCCTCCAGCTCTGATTGATTCAGCTTCTTCTGCCTGCAGGAGCGCAGAGAGGAGGACGGCTGGAGAAAGAGACAAGAAGTCCGGACGGAGCTGTGGTCCTCAGAAGAACAGCCAGCCTGCTCCCACCACCAGCCGGCGTTTGGCTGGAGGAACACTCAGCAGGAGGGGGAGGAGCAGCAGACAGGTGACTGCAGCCAGGTRAGCTCCCATTCAGACGCTCCGTCACCTCCTGCTCTCCTTCATGATGAGCTGAAAGGACTCTACAGCACTTTATACACACACAGACACACACAGTCACACATACAGTCACACACACAGTCACACAAACTTTGGGGATTCCCCATGATTCTCATGATGTCATCCCTGACCAACAGTATTCATAACATCAAMCTCATTCCAGATGTGGTCCCTGGTTTCTGACACGGTTTGGTTTGTGATAGACTGACGGATCGGGACCTTCATGAGTGGAGAGGAGCTCAGAGTAGAGCCGCTGCTCCTCCACATCAACATCGGTTTATTAAGCTTGTTTTAAAATAAATTAATCCTTCTCTGTTTCCTCTCTATGACCGGTTCAAAGTGGACTTCTGAAGGACAAGAAGACAGAAACTGAGTCAGCAGAGTCGGAGGTAACCACCTGCTTTACAACACCGCTGTTTCACTCCAAACGTTAGAAACACAAACTGARGAGCGTTCTGTCTTCCAGAAGGAGACAGACTCTGGTGCAGTCCAGCAGAGACGTAGGAAGGTCCTGTCCTCTGATGAGGGGACAGACGAAGACACCAGCTGGGTATGAGGGGACAGCAGAGTCCAACAGGCTCAGGGTTGTGCAGCACATTTCATTTATGTGTTTCCTTTATCCAGAACCCGAGTTCAGAGAAGGTGAAGAAGCTGAGCTTTGGTCCAGCAGCTCAGAACAGAAAGTCACTGAGTAAAGAGTCCAAGTCTAAAAAGTCTCCATCAGTCAAAAGAAATGATACAGGCAAGTACGGTCTTCATGGTTTAAAACATGTTTCCTAATGTGTATAAAATGTTTTATTTTTCCACATGAAGACGATGAAGACGTGTCGTCAGGAACAGATGAAACCTCCAGCAGTGACAGACGGAGGAGGAAGAGGCCTGTGGGTCGGGGAGGATCCCACTTTGACGTGATTCTGGATGCCTTCCTGGACTTCTGTGACCAGTACAGGTAAAACCCAGTTCTCCTGTCTCAGATGCATCTTTACAACTCTGTAACTTCAACTTCATCCTTTTTTTATTCTTCTTCTGCAGAGAGTCTGTGGAGTCTGCAGCTGTCAATCAATCTGTCAGACGTTTCTCCAGAAACGTCCAAGAGCAGCTCCTGGAAAAGGTAACACTTCTAATCCAGTCTACTACACTTCCTGTTGGGTTTAATGGTTTAAGTCCAACACAGAGTTATGGTTTATAAGTTATTCAGTTTCACTATCTGCATGTGATGGTGCATAGTGTTTTAGAGCTTTGACTGAAACAGCTACAACTTTGTCTTTTCTCACCTTAAGATGAATTTATTTTACATCTCTGGAGTAAAAGGCAGTGAGCAACACTTCAAGAAAAGCTACACCTGTAACTTTCTTTTTGTCGATCTATGAAAAATTGGCACCTAACAATTTTATTTATTATTATTATTATTATTATTATTATTATTATTATTATTGATTAGTTTATTCAATAGACTCATGGTCCACGTTGACATAAAAGGGACAAAAACAAACATAATACACAACAGAAAAGAAAAACTTATAAAAGACTTACATACCAGTATTTCCATAAACGTGACTGGTAGCGTAATGCACTCCCAGAAGGATGTGACAACATTAAAATAAGACTGTTCTTGGATTTACACAAATGATACATAAATTTGTATATTAAGTTTCTCACAAGTGCCTGAAATGTRTTGACATGTGCACTACAAAACATCTCRCACTTCTGAATCTGGGTTTTTTAAGAAGAACTCTCAAGGAGTCATTATAAGCAACTTTAAGCTTCTGCATACGAGCTTTTTAAAATTTACACCACAGGGGGGCAGTATACAGAGACRTACAGTAAGATTTAAATAAACATATCTTTACATCATCTGAGCACATATGAAATTTCCTCATCAAAATATTGCCTGGGCATATAATATGCGACACTGCTGATATATGTCATCCTCATCACAGAGCTGGTCTGTGATGATGTGACCCAGATATTTGGCTTTAGTACATACATTTAACTTTTGTCCCGACAGAAAAAAATCAGGAAAACAAAGTTCTCTGTCTGCTTTAATCCTGCATATTCGCACAACACTTTTCTTGGCATTATACTGCACATCTTATGTAAAACCATAATCAGAGCAGACATTCARTAACTGCTGAAAACCAGCACTGCTGGGTGAGTGAGGACAGCCAGATCATCAGCATACATAAAGTGCTTAACCAAAGTATCACCCATCATACATCCAGTTTTACAAAGGTTCAGTTGTTCAGACAAATCATCCATATACAAGTTGAACAATGCAGGTGAAAGAAGCC